TGAGCTGATAAAGTGAGGGGACGCATGTACCAGGAATAAGTGTGAGGAGCCTAGTGCAATGTTGTCTATGCATCAATACATCGGCCAAAATAGGGCAGGTGATGAGAATTCTATCAACGAAATTAATCACTTGTACCCATAATGCGCATCCCCATTATTATAAAGGTGGCTTAATATTGGTATGCGTGTTCGGTAAGCAGCGAGATTGATCGAATCACGTATCCTTCGTTTCGCCCACCATCCCCTTTTGTTCCCATTTGACCTCTTTTTCTTGTTCCTACATCTTGTCTCTTTAACGAATACACATTGCACTTTTTTATACACGAAAATAGCAATACAGGATACATCATTTACTACGTTGGGGGATATTCCATAATGAGGATAGGGTGGTGGTGGAGAGCATGTCAGTACTATAAACAAAAGGGGTGTTGTAGAACAGCTAATAAGGATAAAGTGAAATAGAACATGATGATAGCTTGCATGTACAAATGGGATGAATGACAAGTTCGCCAGCGATAGGTTTTTAGGTATATGTGATCAAACTTTGGTGAGGGATTTACGGCTGCTTTGAGACTCTTGGATGGAAGAAGGTCTGCTTTCGGTGGTCACAGCATCATCGCTATCATCGCCCTTGTCATCAGTGATCATAACAAAACGACCATTCATGTACCGATATTGTTCTTGCATGCTACTACCTAAATGGGCGTTTCCAGGAGACGATGTCATGTCAACAACAGGCGATTTGATATCGCCATAATGGTTGGTGATGATAGGTTGATGATTTTGTCGGATTGTTTCCATGCCAGGCATTTGGCTACCACTGCCCATATACCCCAGCGTGTTGCTACCAGGAAGCGTATACATGGGATGATCATTGAGATATTCGTCGTCAATGCCGAGATTGTACATGTCGGGCTTACGACGATACTTTGAGTCGTCTGCTGTACCCACTGTACCATTGCCAACGGCTCCCATTGAATCATTGTTGTTTGAGCTCGTATTGTATTCTTTGTTGATCTTGCCTGTGGGGTTATTGGTCACCTATTTCGTTCATCATGCATCAGTAAAACGATCATGCTGCATACGATGTGTCATGCACTCACCCAGTGGATGGTAATAACGTTGATGGTAACATCCACAGTACAACATGTCAAACACAAGACACCTCGTTCTCGGCCTTCAAGGAGCACGATGGCTAAAATGTTGGCGAATGAGACAAGCAAGCATACAGTGGATGCTGCCATTGTGCGAAGGGCGACTTCGTGCAACCGGGAGCTCTTCCAGTCGGCGTTGACGCTTTTGCCGATCTTCATTAAAGGTCGGATAAACAATACCGTAAAGTACAAATTGAACACCTAAAAGCAATTGCATCAATATAAATGCCATATCACAAATCGTGTCAATCTTACAAAATCATAAATCTAAAATCGTAGAGAAAAGTGAGTATTGCGATCCACGCTGTATATTGGTTGATAAAGACACATACCAGCAAGGGAATACTTGCAGCATACTTGAGACCAATGATGCATATGCCGTTTTCTTCAATCTCGGCAATGTGAAAAATGATCTACACGTAGTATTCCATATGAGTTTACGGTTGCTATGGATTTGTATAACGCATACCAAAAGCGCGGCGATGCCGGTATAGGGTAACATGAAAGCCATATGGATCCTGTACGACCGGGTCCTCCATCTTGATTGACGAACGGATGATACAACCCACACCTTTTCAATCAACCTACAGCTTTGGTGTCAGCAAAATGGGTCGTCTACGTGTTTGTATATGCCATACCAGCAGTAAATGATGATCTTGGTAGCTGAATAAAAGATGTCGCATGCTAATTCGGAGAGAAGACAAGATAGGTAATTTTCTATTCCCAGCCAAAGAGAAAGAGCATGAGCCACAACATCCTACGCATTCAAGGTGATAGATGAAACCCACCATTGTTGGTTGAGACAAAGAGGGTGGCTGCACATGTGAACCCCCACGACATGATATAGAGCGCCAAGACCAGCCAACGCGAGTATGTAAGGTATTGAAATTGAACATTGTAGGTTTTGATACCAAAGAGAATGGTCATGATCGTGATGGAAAGCAGCGATACAAGCTTGGATGCAAGCTCACCCCAATCAGGATGAATCGATGATACGAAAACCTGCTGCCCAACATCCATCGTTTCGTCGTCGTCGTCGTCGTCGCGGGTCGCTGCTGCTTTTTATGTAAAATTTTGAGATGTTGCTGCTGCTGCTGTTGCTGTTGCTGCTACCGTGGACAACAAGAACGGTAGTGGTGACGAGAATGATGGTGATAAAACGTATGCAATATGCGTGCGTAAGGTGAGCACAGGAAAAAGGTCGTGGCGTTGAGCGATAAAATAAAATCTGTGGGATAAAGAAGGGACCACAAGAAGGTTTTGGTGGGCACAGGGATTTGATTTTGGTGCCTGTTGGGAGGATATGAAATCGGATTACACAAATAGGGCCACATCGACCATCATGGTTGTCCAAGTGTATGGATTTAGAAATCCTCCCATGGTCCATGTCCTGGTCCCTCTTTTCACGTAATTAATAACACTCATTCTTACGCCACATGCCTTTTAGCTCGATCGATTCCTTGAATGACTTGTCTCACGAGCTAATGATTTTCTTTCATCATGCTGGATATGGCTCGCATATCGGGATATACACACATTCTTGTCTGTGTTTTGTGTCACGTACACCAATGTTGAGGTGATTCCTTATTCGACCGATGGTAACACCGCATCTGCTGCTCAACTTCAGATTAACCCCAAAACAGCCGTGATCGGCATATCCTGCACACGCGCAAATAGCACTGCCATATCCATGGTTCTATTCAATCATTTGCCGCATATCCACTGTGACACACACCTGTCCCAAACATGAGATTGCTATCCGAGCGTAACTATTGTTAACATGAACGTATATCACAAACCACAATATTCAATGATGACAACTTGTAGTAGCTGATATACATCACCTGTCGTATCATCATTAGGGCCATTGCATGGATTAACAAGGTCTTTAAGATAGCGACCAATGCTAGACGATGATCTTTTATAGTCGGCATTGTTCATTTTGCCTGGAAGATGTAACTCATAACAAGATATACATGCCTTGAGACCCCGCAAACATGGGACATGTCCAGTTGTCCCAGCGTATCATTAATAATATTGAAAAGGCATGTGCTTTTATCCCTGCGCAGTGTACACTCATGATGAGCCAAGTATTTGTTGTATTGCTAGGTAGCGGTTTATTTGGTCAAGTCATGGCTCAAGATAGCAAGCAGTTGCTAGGTAATCAAGGTAGTAGGTGACTCCAGTGGTCAAAGGTTCAAATAAAAGATCAGCAAGTTCTTGGATGCTGTTGTCGGATGATTCCAAGTGATGCATAGAACGAACTTGTTGGCAGCTTTCAAAGTTAACGAGAGCAGTAACCCGATCCATCCAATGGAATGATAACAAATTCCCATACATGCATACAATGCATTAAATGCTCACACACGACAAGGTCCAACTTAGGTCTCATGAAAACGAAGAGATGGTTGGCCATCGTAATCCCATGTTCTCCAAAAAGTAATCTTTAATCCAACATCATTCACAAGAGATAGATTGAGGGGTAAAGCAAATTGCTCCAATTATAGGGGTGGAGATGCATCGACATGGTAAGTTTCTATCATTTGGCGTACATCTTGCAAAGGCAGATGGATGGATGTGAGGTGGATCCTGATACGTGATGGCGAACCACATGCATAGCGTGTCAAAACATCGAGTTGGATGGTGGAATGGCGTGCGAATTAGGATAATTGGATGCATGAATCGTTTAGGTTGATGGCATCAAAATCAAATTGATAATGGATTCACTCTTTTTCCACGCGTTGCATATACCCAGATCCTCCCATTCCATGTACCAAACCAATATCCATATCCATATCCATATCCATAAGTAGTTGTATGTATTGAAACAAGTTGCTATGCGTAAATAAAGCTGCTTCTATACAATGGCTAGCTGCTGTCTGCTGTCCACGTAACGACGGCTGTAATACAAGTTGCTGCAAGTAGAGAACACTGTTTGAGACAATGGAGTAAAGCCCTTGCTAATGGTAGCTGCTGCAAATGAATGCTGTTGCGTTTGGTCGTGGTAGAGGAGTGTGCAAGAGCGTGTGTTGTGTCAAGAGACTCGTGTGTTGTAGTGGGATGCACACGCAATGGACTTGCCATTCAGTCAAAGACAATCGGACCAAGACAGCTGCGGGATCAACATGATGGGTTGAAGCAGGACAATCGTTCGTAGGTGGTAGTTGTGCTTGAATGGGGCAACAGTTGAGAATGGGAGGAACGGTACCAAGCTGGAAGTGGAAGAGGTGGAAATTTAATAGGCAAGACGCTGCCCTTCAAATCCATGTACATTGTACATCAATCCTTGATATTGAGATTGCATCACTTGAACCTGAAACTCTCACACAAGATGCTCCTGGACATGCTGATCAACTTCATTCATTTAAAAGTCGCAGACTTCATTGTGAAGATTCAAAATGCGGGCGACCCAAATGGTGGATGATGGGAACAAAAGAGCGGACAGCCCACCGCCCCGAAGTTGCCCACTTCCAACTTGCAAATTGGTCAGAATGGTGCTCTCGAGCATGTTGATCAACTTTTTCTAATAAAAACTTCACGCTTCGTTTGAAAATTTGGAATGGGAGCGTCCAAAAGTTTGAAAGACGGAGACATTCGCAGGGTCTGCGATTCATTAATTTTCATGTTTGCTGTTCCAGCGTAGCTCACTCAAATCGGCTCGGATCAAGAAACTTGAATGATGGAAATGCTCGGCTGGAGCAGGAGAATCGTTTCCATGGAGTGGATTTTGCAACAACGCTGATTGGAAGGAAATGGCTGTTAGCTCGCTATATATGGACATTATTAAAGTATCATCCATCAATCCTTCCAGTCATGCAAAAAGAGCTGTGTCACACAAACACGCCCCTCTGCATCTTTGATTCTCTAGGGTCCACCTACTTGACAATGAACAAAGACCACTCTTCATATAGCATCACGCTTACAAACATAAAGGTGCCTGTATCTCCAAACTTTACAATCAAACGTGGGCTCTTTAATAGATCAACGTGCTTGTCGGGGTCAAAGGAATCTTGTGTCAAAGTATGAAGTTCATCGTGGGCGATCCCAGATTTCGCAATGTCGCCACCAGCCAAACTGGATCTGAGGGTCGACCTTTTCGATGACGACGACCAAAAAAATATTTTTTGGGCTAGTTGCGACATTGAACGTGAAACTTTCACACAAGGTGCTGTTGGCCAAGCCGAGCCCATTGCTCTAATAAAAACCCCACGTTTCATTGTAAAGTTTGGAGATACAGGCACCTTTATGTTTGTAAGCGTGATGCTATAAGAAGAGTGGTCTTTGTTCATTGTCAAGTAGGTGGACCCTGGCAGAGCAAAAGATGCAGAGGGTCGTGTTGTGTAACACAGCTACGTTTGCATAAATGAAAGGGTCAATGTATAGTGCTTTATGGATCATCTAGGAACAGTGTTATTATTTGCTAGCTAACGGCCACTTTTATCCAACCTTCATTGTTGCGAGATCCACTGCATGGGAACGATGCCCCTGCTCTAGACATTCATTTCCATGATTAAAGTAGGTTGATCCAGGCTATTTGGCGAGCTTCTACGGTCAAGAAGATACATCACTCTGGACATAAAACACGCTCGATGTAGCTCAACCGATGTAAACTTGTGTGAGCGTAACTCAGCTCAAATCAGCTCAGGATCAAACCTACTGTCAACGGAAATGAATGTCTAGAGCAGGAGCATCGTCCACCTACAATAGAATGCACAAAAGTTGGGAATGCACAAAAGTGGCTATTAGCTGCCAATGTATGACATAAAAGTGAGGGTTGTGTACCTTTCATGCATTGTCCCTGAAGTCCTGACTTTTCAGCTGAGTTACCCAAAGAGGTCCTTCTGCATCTTTGGCCCTGCCAGGGTCCACCTACTTGACAATGAACAAAGACCATTCTTCATATAGCATCATGCTTACAGCATAGTAAAAACATAAAGACGCCTGTATCTCCAAACTTTACAATCAAACGTGGGGTTTTTATTAGAGCAACCTGTTCGTCGGGGTCAAAGGAATCTTGTGTGCCAGTTTCACCTTCATCGTGGCCAATCCCAGATTTCGCAATGTCGCCACCAGCCAAACTGGATCCAGGGGTCGACCTCTTCCACGACGACGACCAAAAAATATTTTTTGGGCTGTTTGCGACATTGAACGCGAAACTTTCACACAAGGTGCTGTTGGCCAAGCCGAGCCCATTGCTCTAATAAAAACCCCACGTTTCATTGTAAAGTTTGGAGATACAGGCACCTTTATGTTTGTAAGCGTGATCGAGTTGCTTTTTCCTAGTGGATGGTGTCGGCTGCATTAACGGAAATATGAAGAGTTGAGTAAAACCGCACGTGGTGGTTACACAAACGCGTCCTTGACAGGTTGCTACACAAATGGATGATGATGATGATTGCCTTTTGTGAAGGTACGTAAGTAAAACAGCATCCAACCATGAAGGTGTGTCAAGGTATGTATCACATTTGCATGTAGGAGAAGGTCGAGCTGCATAAACCAATTTGTATATGTAAAAAGATACGTATACATATACATAATATTGAATGGGTCACTCATCCTGAAACTCAATGGAGGGATCTCTTCACTTTTTCTCTTCTCAAGCTCATCCCACTTCCCACTCCTCCTTATCGCATTACAAAAGCCATATACTTCTTGCATGACCGATACAGTAACGGACCACCTTTATTATTCCATCTTCGAAGCAATAGTATGTAATCCACAAGCTAGCAACCTCCAACAAGCGTGTAATAAATAAACAATGCTTTATTTCATCTAGCTATCTTGCTATGTACTGTACATTGTCACCACCATCGTCGTTGTCGTCCTCCGTCATCATTCCTACTCGTACTCGTCACCAGTCGTCAATCTCATCCGTCACACCAACATCCAAAAATACACAAGTTGAAAAGAATGGGATCTTGCAGGCTTCCTTTTGAATCTCGCTGTCGTCATCATTGTCATTGTTGTAGATGGGGTGATCATCGTAATCGTCATTGTTGTGAATGTGGTAATCATCGTAATCGTCATCTCTACAAATAAGAAAGCAGGCAAGTTAGACCATCTGGTACCGGAATGATGACGATTTGGTATACCGTTAGGCGATCCTCTCTAAGGAAGAAAGCAAATCAGAAGGAATTCACAAACCAAATCACCACCATGCGAGCAACGTCGGGCGATCCCTTGTTCTTGAGAAAGCACTGCACGAATCACGCAAGGCCAGTTCGATCCATGGCAAGGAAGGACTCACTTACGTAGTGTCCAGGCTCATAGGTGTCCTCATTCATCCTCTCCAAAGAAAGAATGATCCCCAATCCTTCCAATCATTTTCCCACCTCATGAAAAGAAATCCTCAAGGGAAAGAACGAGCCTATCACGAGAAGAGCGTGTTGGCTAAACACATTCACAAACTGTTGCAAATCCCCTTTTACCTCAACACGGTAACCATGCTCTTCCAAAAATCCATCGTCGTCGACCCATCAACTCAAAGCAGGCCTGTAGAGCCCTGGACGCGTTCCAAGAACCTTTTCCAGCACACTTGACTAGTGCAGAGCGACGCAGCGGCCACTTGATACAGGCTGGGACTTGAACCCAAAGAGATGATGATGATGCCCAAAGTTGCATTGCCTGACCAAAGAAACCTATTCAATTCATTATTAGCACACACGCACAATAAACACCCTTTTCATTGTTTGTTCATTGTACTTGCCTTTTCCATATACACAAAGACCCGTTGTTGCTGGTTACTGGAAACCGAAAACGATGGTGTAGTAGTGTTGTCGAGCCGAAACAAAACGCCAAACCAGCCAACGGCTTGAAGCCAAGCTTGCCCTCTATACAAACTAACACGTCAATGGAACTAGTTCGGCTGCAACATTGGACTTTGAATGTACCTGTTGACACCAAGCGTAGAGCGGGAATAGCAACGAGCAAAAGGAAGCAACAACATCGCCATGGCAACCACCACCCACCACGCTCATTCCTCAGCACTTGGACACGACTCGCTCCCTGACAATGCACTTTCACAACTATGTTAATGCCTCACAACCAACAAGAGCACTCTTTGATAATACATTGCCTTGATCGAGATGTCGTGAATGGAATAATAGCACAGGTGGGAGAAAAAGAAGAGAAGCATTGTCTCAAGTCGTGGAGCTACCGACCCCCAAGTTTAAATCCCCTACTGCTATTACACTGAGGCCACTCAATTACCCTATACACACACTTTCCACCCATCATCATCCTCGTAATAGACAATAGGTACACGCAAATAAAAGCTATGATCCTCACGAAGGGTGTGTGCCATTTTACATTTTACATAGATTTGCTTGTATGCCCTACCTTATATTGATTTTTACATGAAGAGCCATTGATGAGAGAAAGAGGTCAAGATGAGCATGATGTCATGGTATCTTTGTTACGTCTGACAATGACCAACAGACCCTGTGCCCTGCCCCATACTTTTAATTTATGATCGCCACAACGTACATAGCATACAAAAACAACATGTCATCCTCATCCCATACAGCTGAATGTGTAGCTTACATATTAAGATACCCTGTTTTGGACGAGACTCAGATTTGCGTAGTGCGAGTCTGGAGGCTAGCTTCATTACGATCTACAACGCCGTTTTTAGGAAACATGTTCTCACGCTGTACAAGCGTTCCATTCATGTCACGGTACTTGTCTGAAGTTTGGAGCATCCTGTGTTAAAGTGAGTATAAGGCTAAACCCCCCTTTTCTTGGATCTATATCTAGGCATGTGGTGGGGGATCGACCACCTGCAATCAAGGCACGATTCATGCGAGAGTCTAATGTGCGAAGCTAGACTTTATATGGATATGGGGTTTCAGACAGCTAGGGACCCATCATCTATTTGTTGTCGTCGCTAGTCTTGGCAGTCGTGGGTCCATGGTTGTCGCCAAGATGTGATCAAAGGGTTATCTTCAATCATAGCTCTTGAAAAAAGACATGTTAAAGGCAACGGACAAATGATGATAAAAAGGGGATCAGCCTTCCTGCTGCTGCTGCCGTCACCAGGGAAACGTACATACATGGTAATAAGATGATCTGGGAATCAAGTCTTCAATTAAAGATTCTGTAAAGCGTCACCCTAGAAGCATGACTGGCACACCTGACATTCACATCCATGGATTATCCATTTTGCATACCGTGCTAAATGCCGATGATGATATAATTAATAAAGATCATTCCTTGGTCTCTTTTCCTTTTCTTCTTTATATTCTTCCAACCCACCAGACCTCACATTATTCCTTCATCGACATACATGTGGTGGCCACTTGCTCGACAAAACAACCTCACATCATCCATGCACCTTAACAATGGCAAGCGATCTCATCGAGCATGGTGCATATTGTACGACTTACCGGAGGATGTTTTGATTGTGCTACTCCAATACCTGGATTTTGTATCATTGATGAACCTTGCACATACATCATGGCGTCTGCGACCTGTAGTGTGTTGTGTATTACGGCATTATCTACTACCAAAGATACAAGTGGCTACAGTGATGGACCAAGAGGGAAGGGGGGTTTGGACTTGCCGCTACCAATTTTATGGTCTCGACCACGATGAGCACGAGCCTAGGGCGGTCTTTGCGCCAATCGATTCAGCTCATTGCCATAAACGATATCGATGCGATGGATCGACAGCTGCACCTACACTACGCCAACTTGTTGTCTTTGATAAAGAGGAATCCGTATCGTTGATGAAGAAGAGTTGTTCACTGTCAACCAAAGCATGCGGTGGCATGCATCGTATTCAAGTATTAGAACGACAAGTTGCGCTTTCATATATATTGCAATCAGAAGATACCAATGAACAGCAATGTGATTACTATCCACCCTCCTCCAACAAGAAAAATTCATCATCCTCATCCACCACACAGCAATGCCGTATTTCACCCATCGAACTTGCCATCCATGTCCCATTATTATCCGGTAACCCAACCCATCAACAACATCGATTCTGGAATCGGTGTACATCATTTCTTGGCGTGTAATAAATACCCTTAGTTCAAGTTGAAATGTGGTGGTTCACCTTTTGCCTTTAATGCGTTTCAAATATCTCGCTACAGAGGGGGTAATAGCTGCTGTCAATGAAAGTCGTACTGGTAAAAGCAGTGTCTTGTGAATGCCATAGGCTACAACGAAAAGTGATGTCCATGAAGGGTCTTTTTCGTGCGTTGCTGTGGAAACTTGTTGCTCTGGATCCCGCTCGTGCTTCATACCAACCATTCCCTTCACATGCTGTAGTATCCAGTCCTCGGCCTTTTTGACGCGATCGGCTCCAGTAACACTAATGACGCCCATGGTCAAACTGAGATCTACCACGCTCAATGCCACGTAGACACCTGCTCCCACAGGACCATATTTCTTCATAAACCCACGGAATTTGCCCACATTTTGCTTTGTCGATTGCTGCTGTTGTGGTTGTTGTGGTTGTGTAGTGAAACACCTTCGCCAAGGTTGATATAGCCGAGGAATGCGATTCATCACGTGTTATAATAGAGAAGGATATAGAAGGAAAAAGAGAGAGAGAGAGAGAGCGCCAAAGCGGGAATTACTTGCATGAATGACGTGCACGTCCCAAATAGTAGTTTCCACGCATGACATCACAGTGATTTCTACAAAGTAGCTTCCACCATCACAATGGCATCTTAGTCATGTTACGTACGACGTTTGTTTTATTGCATGCATGAAAAGGATGATGATGATGATGATGATCCCCAACAGGAATGACAAGGGAAGAAATGTAATAAGGTTGGGTAATGAGAGTCGCATGTTGGTGGGATATAAATCATATGCCTCGAGCAAGATGCTCAAAATGGAACCAAAACATATGATGATGAGAGTATAGTCATTGTGTTCAATGATTACGCTTCAATGATGAACCTCGGCATTTGCCCAGAAAAAGTGTCAGGTTGCTATTTGGTAATGAAGGCTGCTGTTAAGCAATCACATGCTTTTGTCATATGAAACTAAGTTTCTGGGCGGCGACTGGTATTTAAAAACCACTCCTGCAGCAGCTATTTCGTGTCTTGGCCTTGTCACATATACGCGCATACACTTTTCTTTCGCTTTTCACACACACAATAACCATGCCTGCTTTCAACACTATCACTGTAAGTTCACATCCCTCTTGCATTGATCGCAATCAACTGACTCCTTAACCACTGCAGATCCCCGAGGAGCCTTCTCCCAACTTTGTCATTGTCAAGAACATCTCGCTTCAGTCCAGCGAAAAGACTGGTATGTTTATTATTATCATTCATACTACTTGAAACACGCTATACTCATGCATACACATAATAGTCAAGGAATTCTTTTTGTTCTGTGGCAAGATCAAGGAGTTTGAGTTGACCAAGTAAGTATGGGGCTATAGGGTAGTTTGATCGTTATCAGTGGTTTGACCATGCTATTATTAGGGATGACGATGGTGAACATCAAGTCGCTCTTATCAACTTTGAGCGTGAATCTGCTGCCAAGACTGCTACCTTGTTGAGCAATGGTAAGTGTCGAAGGGAGGAGGGAGGAAATATCACGCCACCCCAAGAGAGTATGATCTAATGTGGGATGGACACGTGTAGCTTTGATCGACGAATGCCACATTACTGCTACGCCTTACTTTGATAAGCATGCTACCACCGAGTCCGAAGCTGCTCCTGCAGACAATGGCAATGCTGCCGATCAACAAGAGACCAAGCCCAAGTCACGCGTTGCTGCCGAGATTTTAGCAAACGGCTATGTTCTTCAGGATCAAATTGTTGCCAAGGGTCTTGAGTATGATAACAAGTACGGCTTATCCTCTCGTCTTCAAGGATATCTTGGTTTCCTCCAAAGCAATGGTAAGTGTGATAATGGATTGGAGGAGGCAAAGATGGGTAGGTCGCTTACATTGTACTTTTTATATAGTCAAGCAATTTGATGAAAAGTACCGCATCTGGGATAAGGCTGTTGAGATCGATCAAAAGTACAAGATCCAAGAAAAGGTGCAAAACGCTGCTCAAAGTGCTCTCCAATCTGCTCCTGGTCAAAAGGCAAAGGGTCTTGCTGAACAAACTTACGCTCAAATTGCTGCTGTCCATTATGAAGCTACCAAGATCAAGGAAGAGAAGGGAGGTGATAAGCAACAAGCTGAAGGTGAAAAGAAGGAAGCTTCGGCTTAAAGGAATATCGTCGCTCCAATCTCCATGTTATCCCACAAAACCCGATCAGCATTAGTATCTTTCTCTGCAACCTTTATCAACCCATGCACCCTTATCTCCGATACTCACACACACCTGCACACACACACACACACTCACACACACTTGCATAAGGACAATGAACACCACTGCACTACCATTCTCTTTTTCCTTTGATTGCATCTTATATAAAGTATATCTTTGTTTAACATACACAATGAGTGTGATATCAAATTTGGGTAACGGGGTACTTGGATATCATCATCATTCCAACTCGTCCTGTAACAACTCTACAATAATTCCAATATGCGTGTCTATAATCACATAACACAAACACACACGTATGTCTACCACCCTTTTCCAAGCTCATTGCTTACCTTGCCAAAGATCACGTTCACGCGATTCCTGCGTTGCATCACCACAGCCGTCATTGGAATGCCCGCCACTGTTGCACAAGGATGAGTAATTTATCATGCAGCTAGCTTCATCTTACTTACGGTGATGTAGGCGATGTGGGTAAAGAGCCTGCGGGTACGTTGTACTGTGCCATGATATTTTGTGGACGAGAGTATCGGCGGTCAAATTCAACAGCTAACAAAAAGGTAAGAAAGCATGAGCATCATTCCCGTCATTGCCCGAAAAAAAGGTAACCTTATTGACTTACGTCTATCTCGCTGACGCCATCGTAGAAACTTTTTCCTCAATGCATATGTTTCGAGCATGCATTTGACACGGTTGATCTTGATCAGGGTTTGTACCACCTCTTCTCTGTTACGGTAACGTAGTAATTCATCCAACCTAGTGTACACTCTCGTAAGCAATATTGGCCATAAATGGACGATCATCATCATCATGCACACTCACTGAAATGCTTCCTCTGGTACCACAAGTTTTCGTCTTGCAATCATGAGTAACATGTCATTAAACGAAACATCTCCTTTGGATGCCTGGATCACAGCCGCTTCCTACAACATGATTCATGAGATAACCATACTTGCCCAAGCTACTACTCTTACATACCCAGTAAAGGCTATCCAGCACATGTTTTCGATGATGTAGCTCCTTGGGGTCAAGTTCATCCAGCTTGATAGCGAGGGCATCCAAATCCACACGAACTTCATAAGGTGATGACGATGACGAGGAGGATCGACGATCCCATATCACATATTGACGAGCAAGCCGCTTATACGAGAATTCTGGTTCATAGATGCGCACCTTGAAATTTCCTTCGAGTCTCTACAATATCAAATAAGCTTTACTTTTTAAACACGTGAAATTAGCCTTACCCTCCAAAATCTCATGTAATCGCACTCGTTAATAGACCCTGTGCGTTCCAAATCGATATCTGCCCAAACTTTCTTGAACGTGAATCAATGGTTAAGGATGATAGGTGATACACATAGGATGAATGGTGAAAGAAAAAAAGGATATTTTCTGATTTGCTCTCGGCTGACCAATGAATAATTGGAGGCGATTTGATACACGTATGAAAAGTTATCGGACACGACACCAGTAAACACAGCTGTGAAGATGTACATGGAGATGATGTTGAATGAGAGAAAGAGGATATAAGCCCATCCACTTGATCCACAATCTGAACCGAGATAATCTGGCGCCATTACGCATTCGGGGTAGCTGACAGCATAGTCATGCATCACTGTATTCCATTCCTCCCTATTAGCATTCGTTAGTCTTCTTAATGCATGGATCCAATAATAGCATCAGTGATTTACCCGGTAGAGAATCGAACAAGGGATATCATTGCATTGGTATACGATCGAAAGTTGAGATGCTCTGTTGTTGCCTGAGTGCCATATTTGGTCAATCCAAAGACTTGCATAAACATGATAGCATAAGTGGTCATGATAATGAACCACACGCCGAATGAATTGACGATTTCGGAAGCAGATGCACTATAAATTGAGGTTGTTAGTACCCCAAGAAAGTAACAAAGAACATCGACTTACGCCATAATGGTAAAGAGTTCGTTCAAGCTATCGCTCCTTGGTACCAATTTGAAGCATAAGGCTGTCATGAAAAGCTTTTGTGTCTCGACGGCAATGCGTTGGGAGCGCATAATCAATGTTGCTGTACATCCAAGCACCATCACTAGGTCATACATATTCCACCAACTGCGACTGTAGGATGGCCAACCCAATGCAAATATCTTGACAGCCATCTCGAACCAGTAGACGATAAGGAAGCCCATGTAGGTGTACACTATCAAACCAACCATTGAGCATGTTGATCGTTCAACAAAGAAAGTAAACGCTTCTTACATCGAATATTCGTAAATTGGTCGTCATGATAAAACTCGGTGCATAAAAACAAGATGTTGAGTACAATGACCACCTTCATCCACTGGTAAAAATGCCCCTTTTTGTTGACTACTCGGCGATAACACCATTTGCGTAATTCGGTAGTAGGTAGTCGTTTGGGTCTTTTTGGAGGTCGCATCCTTTTGAGTTGTTTCTTGAGATCCAACCATCGTCGTTGCTCAGCTGTCAAATAGGCGGTGCCACTACGACGCGCAAAGTTTTCAAGGACGATACCCACAAACAATGAAATCACCATCACGGAGCCGACAAGATTGTACACCATAAAGAACACACCACCGGTCCATTGGCTGCTATCACGAACGCTGTTGAGATCTTTTCCGGCAAGTCCCATGGCACGCTGTAATACATCAATCCATCCTTCTCCACTTGCAATTTCCACAAGCACCAATAAACCTTTCCAGAAAGAGTCGAAGCTGTATACGTATGGATTTTCCCATATGCGTGGTGCTAGAATAGCCGTGCCATCCGGTAAAGGAGCTTCCACACCCAACATGGTCTCATGAATACATGATGTTTTGTTGGGCGCACCATCATCGTTGCATTCGTAAAACAATCCTTGGAATACATTTTGGCCGTACAATGCAAACGGTACAACCAAAAACAAGCATAAGAACGCAGCATCCACCACACAAAGAAGACCCTTGACCATAATGACGGTAAACATGTCACGGGCAGGTTTCAAAAGGTTGATCAATCTCAATGCTCGAAGTGCTTTCAATGCTCGAAAACCACGCTCCACGCCAGTCGATGCTGCAAATTCGTACAAGTTGGACATGTACAAGGTGACGAGGATGATCAAATCGAGTACATGCCATCCATTCAAGAGATAAGCGTTTGGTGTAAATAAAAATCCATCGGCTACCACTTTGACAACGAATTCGATCGTAAAGATGACTGTAAACACCCAATCCATAATTCGAAAGATGTCAAAGTCTGATCCACTCTTAGCATAATAAAATCGATAAACCGGAGAATCATAAATGGTCATCACCACGGTGGTAATAATGGCAGCACCAATGATGCAATAAAATATCCAACTAGCCAAAAGCGATGGATGTTGTCCATTGAATCGTTCACCACGACTAGGTGGAACAAGGCTTTGGCACCAGCGTCGGAATCGATTTTGGCGTGAAAAGATGTAAAGTGGTTTATCATACGTTGGGTGAGACGCAATAAACTCCCATCGTTGGCGTTGACGTTCTTCTGATTGCTGCATCAATGTTTCTGCAAGACTAGCTGCTGTGGTGTCTTTGCGAACAAGCAAACGTGAAAGTGAGAATGCCTGGTGTTGGGGTCCATAATAGTTGGCTTGAAATTGCTGGATGGGGTTGTGATATTCGATAGCAGTAGCTGTCAATGATGGTTGTCGTTTGGGCTGAAAAGGGAAAAGGAAGAAACGGCGTATGCGACCCATGATACCATCATCACGTACAGGTGACATCAATAGTTGTGTGTTGCTTCCATTGCCATTCTCCATGTCTGCCTATTATTACATTTGATGTGGCATATGTAAGATGATCGCTCATGAATGGCCATTGGATGTCGTATATAAGATTACCTGACTACCATGCATGAAATCGCTCACCATGGTTCTTTGTGTACGAAGAGTCAAATCAGGGGGTAGATCGTATACACTTAACTGCTTGGGATGCGGCTTAAAGTATCGATACACATTCCATTTGCTGACGACAGGATCGTGGTTGATTCGATGCTCCCTTTGATCCACATATTCTTTCACTTGTAGTGCACGCTTTTCCTCTTCATCAATTTCAAAGTTCTCCATTAAGACGGCAGTGAACATGTTGACAAGAATAGCTTGATTATGATATCATCATTAGTATTTCTTCATCCTTCGTTCGTCATGTAATGTCTTATACTTACAATTGGATGACAAGAACCATACTACCAGGAATAATGCGTGGATCACCGCCGACTTGTTTGTGGAACCAGCCTCCATTGCTCCATAAAGCACTGTTGTCCAATCTTCTCCCGAGAAAAGCTTTACATAGGGTAAGCTTCTATCCTCTTTTTTAAAGCTCCAAGATATCCCGTACCTGATTAAGACCAACAAACGAGTTGTAGATGGAAAAGAATCGCATTTCATCATCGCTATCATTCATGGCTCCTTCAAGTAACTCGAAAGCCTATGATATGGATGAGATCAATGACACTCAATACATATCCCACAACATTACCATGATGGCCACCACCGTTGTCGCAAGTATAATGAAGCCGACAAGTGTAATCAAGTTCCAAGCACTACCAACAACACGTGCCTATGCAAACACACGTTTTAGCATCCCATTTGAATTGAACACAATAAAACTTACGCTCAATCGCCGCAAGCCAGGGATGGCAACGACAAGACGATAAATACGGAGGATCTGAAAGCCTGTGAGCCAAGAATAGAGGAAGTGGTTGTTGTGGATATAAGGTAGGCGCATGGCACAAGTGATAATGGCGATAAATAAGTCCACTTGATTCCTCTTGTAGCGCAAGAAGCGTCGCCATTGTGGCCAATAGCTAGCGAATCGTAAAGATATCTCAACCAGAAATGCCAATGTAAAACCAAGTTCGGCTTGATCTATTGATACCATCAGCTTGATTTTTCATATGTCAAATATGCATCGTATACATACCGATGATCTCCAACTGCTCTGGGGACATGTCATTGTTTTTCCAACCCATCACAATTAAATCAGCCGCAATTGCCAAGAGCCATAAGGGTCGGGTGAAGCGACAAAGATCTCGCAAAAAGGTATCGTTACTGTTTGATGGGATGCCACCGTAGATAGTCCACCCTTCTTCTTGCGATTCGGTCAATACAGGTGTTGTGCTTGTTCAATGTCAGCATAAAAGCGTCAAACCAAGAAATCGTTGTCATACCTCGTAGTGGTGAAAGCAGACCGCTTGGATTCTTGACGCACTTTGGCAAACATCTCATTGATCACGGCAACGAATAAATTCATCAACCAGAAATTCATGATGAATACAATCAAAATAAAGTAAATGCTGGCAAACACGTATTCGGCATCCATCATGTCGTACATTGGCTCGGTCCATGTTTGACCTATATATACATAACTTGCTTAGCCTACTATAATCCTTTTTCGCCCATCATGATACCTACTGCCTGCTGTAATGGTCACAATCAACATCGATCCAAAGATATTGTCAAAGCTGAGGGTGTCTCCAAAAGGATTCTCTGTTTCCTAGCACTGTGTAAGTCCATGTGCAACCAATAAAAAGTACTTCACCAGCCATGTGTCTTACCCGGCACACAAGACCTTCTTGACAAGTAAAACCTTTTGCCCATCTTCCAGGCGTAACACCATCGAGTAGTAGATAAGGTTGCTCGGTGCCATTTTGCATATACCCTCCACAGTATTGTTGCATCACTTGATAGTTGCTGGGATCGTTTGGATCTAATTATGCATCAGTATCCGCAATTTCCATTTCCGATAATCCATCCAACATCCGTTTTACCTTGCCAAACACATTTCCGAAGATAGGATCCTTTGAACGATTGTACACCCACGATGCTATCAACACGCCATCATGATGAGATTGGGCTATTACCAACCATTGACGCCTTCATACTTACGCGAGGATGATGGAAAAGAAAAGGACAAACGATGTCACAGTAACGAGCAATGGGCCTGCCTTTTTGAGACTCTGTAGGATAATGCGGCAGCTTTGTGTTGCTAGCAAGAGCCGAAAAAGAATTAGCGTCGACAGGGCTCTGAATGCAAGGATGCGCTGTTGCTCCGTAATAACCATGCCAGTGCAAGTCAACCATACATCGATCCAGTAGGATATGACTGAAACAAGGTCAACTCGATTCCAACTATGCCTCATGAATGCCATGTTGCTTGGTGTAGAAAATAGAAATCCAAAGGCGACAATCCTCGTCAAGACGTGCACCCTAAAGAAACACACGCCTTAGTGTATCTCCTTCGTCACTTTTGGATAACACAACTCACGTATAGAAACAAAAGATGCCTAGCAACGCATATTGATCCCAGGATTGACCCCATCTTGCTGCAGGTTCTGGATTCGGATCGGTGCCTCTGCCAACCACAAGTAGAATCGTACAATGGGATAAGAGCATCAACAAGAATATGGTTTCCATCCAACTATGAAGAACATGATGATGATGATGATGAACAACCACCCTCCTCCAATTGATATACAACGTCTTACCTTGATAAAAGTATCTGAGTCAAATAGCTACGGATCTCAGGGCCAAACACACCAAGGCTTTTTGAAGGGGTCTCTTGACCTGGGGATAGTGAAGCTGTACTGGAAGTGGCTGTGTCGTCATTGTCCAAAGCATTGTACGCGTTGTGTTGATGTTGACGAGGTAATAAAGAGGACGATTCACTGTGGTCGTCTTCCAAGTCATCGTCGCTTGTCATGAGGTGGTAATCGGGGGTGTCCAAGTCATGCCAATGTCTTTTAGAATGGGACATTGAGAAGAACAGGGAAGAAAGAGTGGAGCTGAACGGCTGTTTGTTGCCGTTGATGTCAAACGTGGCGCAAAGTGTTGTACAGGAGGATGGTGTTGTTGTTGCACGAAGTAACCAGGCATATGCATGTAGAGCAATAGCGGAGCAAGCGTTCCGTAATAAGCTGTTGTAGCTTGTCAAAATATGGTGATTCAACCGCAGCTGTCACTTGGATGATGCATACGGGCGTTTTAATAAAGATGGTAATCCATGGATACAAGACACACACACGCACACATTGTTGTCGCATGGCAACACATTTTATGCTCATTACTCGGTTTTTGACATGTCGCTTTGACACCGACGCGGGAAAATGATTGTCTGAATCCAAGGCACAATCACTCGTAGATCTGTGACACAATCGTTTTACAGGGAGTGACTCATCAGGGGATACATATAATAATTTCCCCCACACTTTTATTCACACGTCTCTCTCTTCCATGTCTAAACATCCAACTTTTGGTCGTGCCTTGCGTTCGGAATTTCTTCTCCAAGAAGATTTCGTTCCTCTTAATCATGGCTCGTTTGGAACGTGAGGATCCTATTGATACTATGAACCAGCACCTCCCCCCTAAACTGAAAGATGAATCATATTAGATGTCCACGAAGCATCCATCCTCTTCGTTCAGAATGGCAACGTAAATCCGAGCTGAATCCCGATCATTTCTTTCGCCACTTTGTTCACCTTCAGTTGGCCAAGACCCGTGAAAGACTAGCACGCTTTGTGCATTGTGATGCAGACGAGCTTGCCATCCTTATCAACGCCACTGCTGGTATCAATGCAGTCGTCCGCAGCCTCAAATTCAAGCCTGGTGACAAAATCCTTTGTGTAAGCTCTTCGTTTTCGCACGCTCCATAAACAATGGGACACGTTTAACCTTAAATCTTTGATTCCATATGTTGTAGGCAAGCACATTGTACAATGCGATTGAACGTACTATGGCTTTCATCCAAGATTCGCAAAATGTGCAACTCGTCAAGGTCGATCTTGTATATCCATTAAGTGATCGTCAGGTGGTGGATGCCTTTAAAGATACCATTGAACGTGAACGTGCCAAAGATTCCAATGTGCCTATCCGTATGGCCGTATTCGATGCCATCAGCTCCGTACCAGGCGTTCGTTGTCCATTCGAGGCATTGATCAAGTTATGCAAGGAATATGAGATTCTCTCTCTTGTGGATGGTGCTCATGCTATTGGTAAAGGATGTCTATTATATATCAATGTGGGCACTAGAACTATTGTATTTAGGCCAAATTCCTCTCGATTTGCATGAAAGTGACCCAGACTTTTTCATTACCAATTGTCACAAGTGGCTCCATACTCCACGTGGTGCTGCTCTCTTGTACACCCCGCGTCGTAATCATTCATTGATCCATCCTAGTATCATCAACTACGCCTACAAGGATTACAGTCAATGTAGTGAGGAGGCTGAAGTGACCGCTGCATATCAACTCGAATTTGGATGGCCTGGTACAATGGACTTTAGCAGCTTTTTGTGTATTGATGCTGGTAAGTAATCATACACATGCCAGTTCTTTTGTTGATGTACGTCTACTTGTTTTATCAGCCCTTGATTTTCGTGAATCATTGGGTGGTGAAGAAGCCATTCAATCCTATTGCAACGAACTGGCACGTCGAGGTGGCGAATTAGTGGCATCCAAATGGGGCACTGAAATTCTTGAGAATGAAGACAAGACGTTAACGGTAGCTATGGTCAATGTGCGTCTTCCTTTCAGCAACAAGGGTAACTTGCCCGATCGACAAATCTCCAAGGCTTTGCTCGAAAAGTTCAATGACGAGCACCATACGCTTGGTCAACCTTTCAAGCACAATGGCCATTGGTATATGCGTTTGAGCGCACAGGTGTATAATGATGAAAGCGATTTCGAACATATGGCTCAGGCTGGTCTCAAGGTGTGCCAAGATCTCGATGCCACAACCAGCTATCAAGGAAAATGGACCATTGGATAAAGCATGCATTCATTTTCATATCTTTGCAAAGAGCAATTTTCATCGTATACTAATAAAATAACTATTTTACAAGCTCTCTTAATCACAAGATAGCAATGTGAGTGTGTTATGGCTCATTTTCGATGTACAAGGCTTAGTCACCAAAAACGGGAAGTGTGCTATACCACGTAACCTCTAGCATGAGCAAAGTAGATCGACAAGGAAGTTGCTGCCTGTCCACCGTAATGTAGTACGTGTTGGCACGAAGCATCGTTCGAGCACCAAAAGCGCCTGTGAGCGTGTTTCTCGCTGTTGACATATCCACCAGATGTCTCAAGGAGCAACAATTCGAAACCACCTCGAATTTTTTAATCCCATCTGCAAGTTCTCCTTGGCAGTTGCTGATGGCCTGCAACATCGTTTCGCCATGCACAAATTGTGTCTCTGGTATCGCGCTGCTGACTGCTTTCAAGGCAGCTGTTAAATCACCATGCGAGTTGGGATGGGTTCCCCTGCTATTGGCATCATGTCAAATCATGCACCATGCCAATTTCAGCACCCGACGTAGACCATGGCACCAAAACCAACTTTTGCAGATGCTTCACGGAGAGATAGCTATATCGAAAGTAACAAGTTAGCGTGTATGAGTAGTGACCCATCAAGCAACATGATCAGGCTTTACCTCGTTGCAAGAATACAATGTCAGGACGACGACAACAATGAAAGCAGGGAACAAAGAAACCCTATAAATGACCACAAGAATCAGCGCTTATTCACAGGTTGCAAGATAGGACACACACAAACCTTAATTATTTGGCCTTGTAAGCAATCAAAAAAGAAATATGACAGAGGAAAGAGAGGTGTGAGAGTATGATGGGCGGCGACAACATCCTTTTATTGTGGGCGTGGGGATTTCTGTGTGTTGGGGATGATGCGTTGATAAATTGATGCATGAGCTGATAAAGTGATGGGGCGCATATACATACAAGGATTAAGTCTGAGGAGCCTAATGCGAAGTTGTCCATGCATACATCCATCGGCCAAAATAGGGCAGGTGATAAGGATTCTGTCAACGAAATTAATTACTTGTACGCATAATGCTCATCCTCCCATGTCGTCAACATACTCTTAATATCGCTATGGGTGTTCGATAAGCAGCGAGAATAATCGGGTCACGAGAGCATGGCAAGTCCAAGACTGTTGGGTAATACAGGAGAAGTACATAAAGTACTCAACTCGACCAAGCGAGCCCGTGTGTGTTTGGGTGGATGGTGCGTATAGGGTCATTGAGTGGCCTTAGTGTAATAGCAGTAGGGGATTTAAACTTGGGGACAGCAGCTCCACGACTTGAGACAAGCTTCTCTTCTTTTTCTCCCACCTCTCCTTATTCCATTCACGGCATCTCGATCAAGGTAATGTATTATGGAAAAGTGCTCTTGTTGGCTGTGAGGTGTTAATGTAGTTCTGAACATGCATTGTCAGTGAGTTAGCTGAAGAATGAGCGTGGTTGGTGGTGGGTGGTTGCCATGGCGATATGGTTGCTTCCTTTTGCTCGTTGCTATTTCCGCTCTACGCTTGGTGTCAACAGGTACATTCAGAGTCCAATGTTGCAGCCGAATTGGTTCCATTGACGCGTCAGCTTGTATAGAGAGCAAGTTTGGTTTCAAGACGTTGGCTGGTTTGGCGTTTTGTTTCGGCTCAACTATACTACACCATGGTTTTCGGTTTCCAGTAACCAACAACAACGGGTCTTTGTGTATATGGAAAAGGCAAGTACAATAAAACAAACAATGAAAAGGGTGCTTATTGTGCGTATGTGCTAATAATGAATTGAATAGGTTCCTTTGGTCAGGCAATGCAACTTGGGGCATCATCATCATCTCTTTGGGTTCAAGTCCCAGCCTGTATCAAATGGCCGCTGCGTCGCTCTGCACTAGCCAAGTGTGCTGGAAAAGCTTCTTGGAACGCGTCCAGGGCTCTATAGGCCTGCGTTGAGTTGAGGATGGGTCGATGACGATGGATTTTTGGAAGAGCATGGTCAGCGTGTTGAGTTAAAAGGGGATTTGCAACAGCTTGTGAATGTGTTTAACCAACACGCTCTTCTCGTGATAGGCTCATTCTTTCCTTTGAGGATTTCTTTTCATGAGGTGGGAAATGATTGGAAGGATTGGGGATCATTCTTTCTTTGGAGAGGATGAATGAGAACAACTATGAGCCTGGACTCTACGTAAGTGATGTCCTTCCTTGCCATGGATCGAACTGGCCTTGCGTGATTCGTGCAGTGCCTTCTCAAGAACAAGGGATCGCCCGACGTTGCTCGTATGGTGGTGATTTGGTTTGTGAATTCCTTCTGATTTGCTTTCTTCCTTTGAGAGGATCGCCTAACGGTATACCAAATCGTCATCATTCCCGGCATCATATGGTCTAACTTGCTTGCTTTCTTATTTATAGAGACAACGATACGATGATTACCACATTCACAACAATGACGCTTACGATGATCACCCCATCTACAACAATGACAGTGATGACGACAACGAGATTCAAAAGTAAGCCTGCAAGATCCCATTCTTTTCAACTTGTGTATTTTTGGATGTTGGTGTGACGGATGAGATTGACGACTGGTGACGAGTACGAGTAGGAATGATGACGGAGGACGACAACGACGATGGTGGTGGCAATGTACAGTACATAGCAAGATAGCTAGATGAAATAAAGCATTGTTTATTTATTACACGCTTGTTGGAGGTTGCTAGCTTGTGGATTACATACTATTGCTTCGAAGATGGAATAATAAAGGTGGTCCGTTACTGTATCGGTCATGCAAGAAGTATATGGCTTTTGTGATACAATAAGGAGGAGTGGGAAGTGGGATGAGCTTGAGAAGAGAAAAAATGAAGAGATCCCTCCATTGAGTTTCAGGATGAGTGACCCATTCAATATTATGTATATGTATACGTATCTTTTTACATATACAAATTGGTTTATGCAGCTCGACCTTCTCCTACATGCAAATGTGATACATACCTTGACACACCTTCATGGTTGGATGCTGTTTTACTTACGTACCTTCACAAAAGGCAATCATCATCATCATCCATTTGTGTAGCAACCTGTCAAGGACGCGTTTGTGTAACCACCACGTGCGGTTTTACTCAACTCTTCATCTTTCCGTTAATGCAGCCGACACCATCCACTAGGAAAAAGCAACTCGATCACGCTTACAAACATAAAGGTGCCTGTATCTCCAAACTTTACAATGAAATGTGGGGTTTTGAATAGAGCAATGGGCTCGGCTTGGCCAACAGCACCTTGTGTGAAAGTTTCGCGTTCAATGTCGCAAACAGCCCAAAAAATATTTTTTTGGTCGTCTCGTCGAAGAGGTCGACCCCTGGATCCAGTTTGGCTGGTAGCGACATTGCGAAATCTGGGATTGGCAAGCTTGATCGTGAAACTGGCACACAAGATTCCTTTGACCCCGACGAACAGGTTGCTCTAATAAAAACCTCACGTTTGATTGTAAAGTTTGGAGATACAGGCGTCTTTATGTTTTTACTATGCTGTAAGCATGATGCTATATGAAGAGTGGTCTTCGTTCAATGTCAAGTCGCTGGACCCTGGCAGAGCAAAAGACGCAGAGGGACCTCTTTGTGTAACTCAGCTACTTTGCATGACTAGAAGAATGGAAGAATGATACTGTATACTATTGACAATATCCCATACATTGCGAGCTAACAGCCATTTCCTCACAATCGGCAATGTTGCCCATTCTATGACAGTGGAACGATTCTCCTGCTTCAGACATTCATTTCCATGATTGGATTATGTTGA